AAATTAAGGCATTTCGAATGTTTTTCGCTCTGCTTGAAATGCAAAATGTTATTTCGAATATCACAAATAAAGAAAAGATACCTTAATCAGTAGTGGGTGGTGGGTTAAAGAAGAAATAAAATATGGTGGCCAATGAACTCGAAAAGATAAAGCTTCATTCACGCGGCCTAATTCACGTCGCCAATGTTTGATCAAACTGTCCTGAGGACTGCAGAGGTTCGTAAACTTCATATCTGTTTGAGTGCCAATATTGGCCAGTCAAAAAAACACGCAGCAGAATTTTACGTCGCCGTTCTGTCGCTAGATAAAATCGCATTTTGCGTTTATTGCTCAATGAATTGTAGCATTTTATGTTAATAACCGCCACGTGGGCCGCGATGTCGAAATACTGACTAATCTGGCCGTGGGCAGCCGGCGAAAAAATGGCAATTTTAAATTATTCATACTACCCACATTTGAGCGTCCGATATAAGTTTGTTTAATGCTCCTAGATTGTTAATTACTTAATTATTTATGACGTGCTATCGGCCGATGGGTCGCCCACGAGGGATTTGCAAGTTAAATTGGTGTTTAATGAATGCCCGAAATATTTGTATTAAAAATGAGCACCTGTCAAGCCATTAGGGATGTATTTGGAGAATACTCGTTAGCTCTTTTGTAGCGATTTCTCATGTAACTGTTTACGTTCCCGCCGGACTTCTGAACAATCAGTTATGCGGTAACTGTAAACGTTAGTATTTTATTGCGGAGATTCTGATATTAATGTCGTTGTTTAAAAACGTATTTAACATGCTGCCTCGTGGGCAATTATGTGTAGGATTCATATCGATGTTTTTCTTCGCATTTTATGGGAACTTAAAGTAAATGATGATAGGATAATTATCTTAAATGAATACTTAATTTGTTAAGGTATCTATTTAATGTTTGGAATCGTAATATTAAGTTATACGATCAATATTAAGCATGCACACTGCACAGCCTGTGTGTGTTTTGGCCCGATAGAAATTATGAAAATAAAAGCTACTGAAACTGATTCCTCTACATTAATCTTGAATTGACTGAAATTGTCTCGGAAATCTAAATAATCTTTAAAGATACCTATTGGATATTCATTACTTCAGAGGGTACGTTAGATGACCCATGATGATGACTCTTTGACGTTAAATCTGTGACCTTTCTTGTTACAACCCACACGATAAAAGAACCTTACTATGACCTTAGACAATTCGGCGTCATTATTAGTCGGCCTTTTCTCGGAAACCGAAAACATCTATTTTACTTAAAACGGTATTTTCGCGTACTTATTTCATGGAAAATGTGCCAGCCTTTTAATGACTATTATCTTCATGAAAGCATGATTTCGAAAATTGAATTAATCTTGTAACCAGAATCTCTTGATTTCTTAGTATCGATTGGCCATAATGATGATGCAACGATCTGCACAGTTACTTTTCCCTCACACCTATCGTCGAAAGTGAGAAATCGGGAATTACATTCGATTACCGTTCTGTAACCAGTAACCACCATGAGACACAGTGTAGGAGGGAACAGAAGGTTACTACTTCACTTACGTACTTCATACATTAACTGAGGAAGTTAGGATCCCAATTGTCCCCAAAAATAGCCTTTGTAACTGTGCTAGTATTAATACTCATGGCTACAGGTTGCATTTATGTGTTTATGCTCATTCGATGAATTCGATTTTTTTCTACGCTGCTAAAACTGTCGCTGAAAGGAAATACCTAAACAGTCACTGTGAAAATAAACAAGATTGAGCTCTGTTTAAAACACAACACTACTGTAGAATAAATAATAATAATATGTAAATAGTTAAGGCTCATTTTGTGGGTTTATTTATGATTGTTTTGTTTTAACTGTGAAGTTTCGATATCATATAATGTAATGAGCACCATAGCTCCCTTATACAATGCACAGACAATGGAGCGGACCTTCTCCACCTCTCTACTCTGTGTCCTCGTCGCCGCCTACGCGGAGGATCTTATTAAGTCATTACCGGGTCGTTTTCACCCGGTGGAAAGTCTGTCCTGGCAGATAGAAGAAGCCTCAATCGAATTACGATACTTTGTTGAAGTACCAGTTTTTGAAATTGAGGATCGTCTTGCAAAAACGGAGATTTCATACGCACACAGGGTGTCTTAATCGTTATGAGTAATTTTCTGTTTTCATTTTTAACTTATCCAACCAGCTGCAGTTCCGATTCTAAGAGCACTAGATCGTCATATTTATTAACGTAATTCATACTCAATACTCAATTAATCATAGCTTAATGTGGTAACACAGAGAGCTTGTTTGAGTACTGATTGTTTAAGGCTGGATTGCATCATCTAACTTTAACTGTGACAAAAGTCAAAAATCTGTCAAACTCCGTACAAAATACACCAGTTATCATTATAGTTACGGTCAAAGTTAGGTGGTGTAACTCAGCCTTAGTGCTCTGTGATTTATAGTTATAAATAGGTTTAACGAAATACTACCTTCTATCTAATCACACGTGTATGTGATAGTCCTTTATCATACACATTTCAGCTTTAAGCTCACTAGTTTTGGCTGTGCGTTGATCAGCTAGGTCAATCAGCTACTTACATTTACCTGTCTAACCTCAAACACCTACTTATAAACCATTTGAATATTCATAAGTGTCGTAAGTGACCGTCGGCTCATCGCCAGTATCGACACCTGGTCTCGCCCACGGGGTGCGTGAGGGACCTACCAACAGAACACTGGAATGCTTGGAAAGTTGCACTGATGGTGGTTTAAATGATGGTTAATGGGCCGAAGAATGGAGAGCAATTATCAGGTCATCAGGTGGCTGAGAAAAACTAGACTCAGAAAAATATATAAGATGTCTTTGGTTAAGATGTATAAACATAACTCTACTTCTGCTAAAAAGAAATGAACTTAGTACGAATGTTAGTTATTTTGTTCATCTTTTACCGTTTTAATTAGGTATACGTNGACATGGATTATAAGGGCAAACTACTTACCTATAGCGATCGACTGGATCATTTTGGAACTGGTCAACCTCGAGACGCGTCGCAAAGCTCATGGAATATTCTGCTTATTCAAGATCCTCAATGGGTCGGTTTCTACAGCGACCTTGTCTCGAGTCCAAATTAAAATACCAAAACGTTCCCTTAGAGTCCCCCGAACATTCGAAGTGCCACTATGTACCAGTAACGCGTCCTCTCACAACGCCATGCATAGAATCTGCCGAGACTTTAACAAGCTCACACCCGATATAGAGGAGGTGCCTGACATCTACAGCCTTACCCTAAACAAATTCAAAAAAGCTGTTAATGAATTGTTACTTAAATAATTCCTCTCTCATCTTTATTTCTTAGAGAATTATTGATTTAAATTTCATTATATTTATTAATAACTTGTTTCCATTATTAATTAACATTAAATAATTATTTTTCTTTTTATAATTTATGTATTATGTATAATTATTGTTAACTCGAATAGCATTGTATGTTGTGTGCACTTTTTATTGGAGCTGCAACAAGTTTTACTGTATAGCCTGCTTTAAAAGCTTTGTATGTTATGGTTGTATCCCTGTTTTGTGCACCAAATAAAATAAATAAATAAATAAATAAATAAATTTAGTAACCCTGTGGTACAAATTATCGAACCGGTTGGCTAAATTGGACCGATGCTCTGAACTCGCTAATTTTGTTGATTTGTGCTAAATATACAACAATAATGTTGATTAATACTTATAAGATAGTAAGTTGAATAATTTTTCTTTTATTATATACCATGGACATTAGCAAAAACAAAACAAAACTATGTGTAAAATGGTATTGAAAAAAACTGGTCCAAATTACCGGACTCTCCCTTACTATGGGTACTAGACAATGGATATAAACAAACTTAAATACTTTTTTTTGTAAATACATACATATTATACATAGAGATACCCAGCCTCGTAACAGAAATTAAAATTCATCATTTCAATTTCTACCCAGCCGGGAATCGAACCCGGGGCCTCTCGGAATAGTAGTCCGCTCCGTACCACAACACCAAACGGCCGACCGAAATGGTTTCGCAGTACCTTTTCACAGTGAGAAAATAATTTTGATAATTTCGCCGCTTAATTTTAGATGTTTTCTTAATAAATAAAGAAAATTAAAAACCTTTTACCTGCTGTTTTATTACACGTCTCTTGCGGAATGAAATATTTCATGCAGATATCGATAAAATCGTCCAAACGATCACTCGGCATGTCCTGAATACGTAGTTTTAATTCACCATCTTTGCTTTTCACTGTGAATTTTCGCCAAACTCGCGGTGTTTGTGACATTTTAGCGACAAGTCAACACATGTACTCTCCTTCACAGTTGATGATGAACTGTGAATCGTGGCTGACAAAAATTTTATTTTACAGCAGATTTTATTACATTTTTGTTGTAAAATAGCCTGTATTACAATGAAATAAGACATTCATTTGTTGAGCTTAATGTGCTGTCGTCAGAACTATCAAGGTTTATTAGTCAGCTGGTGTAATATTAAGATTTAATGATAATGGTAATGATAATAGTTTATTTGCATAAGACAATGATGATGTTTTGTAGTTCCTTGTACTACTATTATGTATTATGAAACTATGTATTACATACCTATTTGTTGTCATTGAATAAATAGTGAGTTAGTATATTTTTCGCCTAACTTTTACGGTAGGTACAACATATTCATTTTTATACTATAATTATTCCACTTACGCTATGCCATAAAAGTTGTTTTTTTATACATGTTACGGCTAAAGATAGGTAAAGATCAAATACCAAATTACTGAATCTGACCAAATAAGATTATTTTGATGAATGGTAATATTTAGGAGGTAAATCGTAGAGCTACATACTAAAATAAGAGCTCTGCATAGTTACTGCAAATAAAGAAAATCCAATCAGACGATGGGTCCTCAGTTCTCAAGTGCTCAAAATGTACTTTAATGCTACAAATTGGAAATTAAGACTAAGTTTCTTTGGTAAGGTTTTAATTTTCGCAGAAGTAGCCTCAATGCTACCCTGAGAGTACAGGGTTCATAATAATTTACTAGTACAGAATAAAAACTCCAATAAAGTGAGCTTAAATACGACTAGATCGATAATGGCTTGGCGGTCATAAATTTACAGGAAGGTGGTACATCTTCAAACACGACTCCAGCTTCTTTCCCGAATTCTTCGTATGGAATCTCGAAGACTGTTTCCCATCCATCACGGGCTGCTGCCTTCTGAGAGCCTGCTGACGTCATCCAGGCTCCAGTGAGAGGTATTCCAAGGTTATGGCATATCTGGCGCCTGAAAAATTAAGAGTTGAATCACATGATGTTCAGAATAACGTAATTATGAATCGGATTGTAGAAAGCGTTCATGTGAGACCTTTTGAAGTAATTTCCATACGATTATATTATTTACGACAATCTGGTTTACTTGTAGGGTAAACCGACAGTCATTGGACGCTGCCAGTTATTGGACAAAACAACCCTTGAATTTTCTTAAAATGAATATTCCTTCAAAAAAACGCCCTTTTATCTCCATCAGTCGGAATCTCTCAGTTGTTGAAATAGAAAAGCTATTTTTAATTCAGTGAATAACTGTCCAATAACTTTGTTAAGTGTCAATGACTGGCAGTTTACCCTATATGGTATAGTATCGAAGTTCAATGTTGATTAGAACTGAAAAAAGCTTTCAGTAAAATTTATGAGAGAGAACCAAAATCAGTAATTAATACAATACTCGTGGAAACGCGAGCGCCTGTGTCAAAACACGTGAATGAAATTTTATGAAATTTTTTGTTTCATTTACAAAATTAAATGAACCAAGTATGAAAATTACTAGTTTTTGTGAATTTCTTAAAAAGTGAAGAAATCTAATTGGTGTTTGTAAGCATTACCTGACATTGAAGAACATTTGAGCAATTCCAAGACCTCTATATTTTGGATTTATTACCACTCCTCTGTCATCAAGGAAACTGTCGAGATTCAGATCCTTCATCACGTCGTATTTTGAAAAAAGTATATCTATTATTGCAAACAAAGCTGCCACCTCCTTAGTTTTAGTCTGTAAGAAAAAAAATGTAGAGGATTAGACTCATAAAGATTTTTTCACATGGATTGAGTTAGACTCTGCAGACCACAGACGTCCCTCGTTCAGTCGGCTGGTAGTTTGATCAGGCTATAGTTTTCATTAGGAATTAAACGATACCAAATCGATGTAATTTCATGTTCATACACTGATTAACTCCCGGACAAACTAACGGCGGACAAAAAAAATATAGTCTACGATGAGTCTTAGGGAGCTAATAATATTTCCATTAGAGATGAAACGGATAGTTGTTTGGCCGGATACCGGATACCGGATATCCGGCCAGCTGCTAGGCCGGATAGCCAGATATCCGGCGGCCGGATAGTTGGCCCATTGTCTCGTTGCATGTCGTGACGAGTTTAGCGCCGCACAGGTGCTTCGAACGCGATCAGTGGGTCTATTAGTAGACTAGACTAGTCACACTTTTCGAAAATCGAATCCGTCCGAATAGAATGTCACATTTTGCCACTTGTCTAGGGGGCAGATCAATTCGGGCGATTTCGGTTGCCATCGTGAGTGTGTGATTAAATAGCGAAAATTAAATTAGTTTACTTGCTGCATAATCTGACTGAACTTCTGCATCATGTCATCAGACCATCATCATCAGTGAAAAAAAATCGCCTATTTTATGTAGTTATTCATCATTAGAGTGAATAGCCCAGAAAAAGAAAATATTAGTTTTTTGACAGGCCTTAATATGGCTTTTTGTAACTTTTTGGACTTTAAATAAACGCCGTCATTATTAATAAGCCATTTTATTGATATTTCCCTCAAAGATTAATGTATTTCATATGATTAATAGGAAATTGTCGTAGTTTTTTAATATCCGGTATCCGGCCGGATAGTGAGTTACTATCCGGTATCCGGCCGAATAGTAAATTTAGGCCGGATATCCGGCCTACCGGATAGTTACCGGATATCCGTTTCATCTCTAATTTCCATGCATTTGCGTATATACTTTGAGAAACATATTTTTATATTATGTAAGTAACATTTCTAAAAACACACAATATCTTATCTGTTTTATCAGCATTAATACTATTCAATGTCCACGGAAAATCCTCTGTCATTTCGTAGAGATAATTTTGTAAAAAGTTTACAATCACAATAGAATCTTCAATCCTTCAGACAACAATTAGTATAATGCAATGGATAAAATATTATAGTAAATCTACGCTGTTAGGATTGTTAGGTATGTCATGGAGATAATTTATGATTGTAATTATAATCTTCAGACCTTGAGATAAGAGGCATAATGCAATGAAAAAAATATTGTTTTTTTTTAATCTTATTAAAAAAACCTTTTTATCCGTGAAATTCATATCTTCTTCAGGGTCGTCCTTCTTAACGACTATTGTCATAGACGCTCCAATAATTTCTCCAACAACTTCAGGATCTTCATCTAAACAACATATAATTATTATTAACTTGTGTGGACTCTTAGCAATGTCAGTAGACACATCTGTGACGAATACTTCTCTTGATTCCGCCAGAGCTTCTTCACTTTTATGTATACCTGTAATTGGAATAACGATTTTAAGTCGTGCTGTAAAAACGTGATGTAGAGAAGCATTAAAAAGCTAGGCTATAAAGTAGTAATATACACACGGCCACACTGTTAGCTATCCATTTTAGTTTTTGCTCTCGCTCTCATCAAATGGTGATTCTTTGCGATAGAACGAGATGACATGACCGGCAATGGGTAGTTAACACTGTGCCGATAGCACAATAAGACTATTTTGATGGACTGATGGAGAGAAAAATCATAACATACCATAACGTCACTCACTATGTAGTTTTTTTATTTGGAGCCATTTTCTTAATACCTAGATACCTAATTAATCTCGATATTTAAATAGCTCCAAGGAACTTCCTAAGGAAGAATCTGTTAGCAGACAATTTAATGTTTTACGTTTTAGGGTATAAGTTATTAGCAAAACGATATCTTAGTTAATATGTTTTTTACTGTCCCGCGTGCGTATTACACGCATTACAATAAATACTTGTATGAAAAGGACACGTCTTGCAGGTGTCACGTATACGGGGCAATCCCGCACCCGTGATGAAATTCGCGCAGTATTATAAACACCCTCAATGTAATTAGTTTAACATAATTAATTGGTGTAACATTAAAAAAGATTATTACTATCTACTATAGGACAGCTAAACTTAAAAAAAAAAGAGGTTAAGAGGAAAACTTCATTGCTTAAAATAAATCATTGCGAAACAATTATTTGTAGTGACTAATCTTACCGGTTGTAATTATTATGTAATATCCAGCTCGCAAGTCACGTTTTGTGTCAACAATTTAACTATAAGTTAATGAGCACGACATACGAGTATTTTCATTCATTGACATAAAAAAATATTGAAAGTGTTATAATTAAGCTTTCATTGTTTCTTTGGAGTCTTAAGTATTTTTTCATCACTATTTCACCTTGCCTCCTCAATTTCATAAATAGGTTCATGTATAATTATATACGAGGGCATTTTATATTAATTTCGCTTCACATTAGATGTTTGTTAATAATGAAAAAAATACCTGCTGCTTTGTGGGATGTCTCTTCCGTAACGAAATATTTCAAAAAGATATCGTTAAGATCGTCCAAACGATCACTCGGCATGTCCTGAATACGTAGTTTTAATTCACCATCTTTACTTTTTACTGTGAATTTTCGCCAAACTCGCGGTGTTTGTGACATTTTAGCGACAAGTCAACACATTCACTCCCGTTCACTGTTGATTGTGAACTGTGTGTCACGGTCACGGCCGCTGGCAGTTTTATTGATTGCGCACGATTCAAGGTGTAGACCAGAGCACATTAGATTATACATTTTTGTTACAAAATAGCCTGTATTACAACGAGATAAGACCCACTATGTTAAGCTTGAAGTGCTGTCGTCCGTACTATCTAGGTCCGTACTATCAGTCAGCTGATCAAGCCCTTTTCCTGTTTAGCGCAGCTGTGCAAAAACTAATTAAGAAATTAACTTCGGATGGAATTAGGTAGATAATATTTCGTTTTATGATAAGATTGCTTATTAATGATTGCGACTTCAAATGTTGTGTAAGTACTTACATGCAGTGGAGACTAAATGACCTAATGATGAAAATGAATTAATCGTTAATAATCAAAATAGGTGAACCGTCGATCTGGTGAAGGTCGCGGGAAGTGCCTGGATGCGGGCAGTGCAGGACCGGTCGCTGTCGAAATCCTTGGGGGAGGCCTTTGTCCAGTAGTGGACGTCATTTGGCTGAAATGAACAAACGAAACAACCAAAATAGGTAACTGTTTTATAGTTGAGTGTACTATTAATGAAACTATACTTAATACTCAATAGCTTATAGCTTCCATAATGTTTACAAAGGTGTTATTGGTAAGGTAAGATACAATTATGGACCCTGTCGGGCACTGCATTTATGGGCTAAGTTATCGTTATCATTTCACTGCAAAATAATCTTTAAAAAAAATGTACGAGAATCCTACAAAATTTTCGAGCTTAAATAACAAAAGGCGTGAAAACGGCGTTGGTCACGGAGACGTCAGAAATATTGCTTTTCAAAATGTTCCGATTCTGCAATACCAATACAGTAGACAGCGTGTCAGACAATTTTGTTGTATAATCGCACCTATTTCAATGTAATAAGATGCTTTGATGTGCTGTTGTTTGTTCCTAAGAAGGCCTTGCTGTGTAAGGGCTGTTATGAATGCCAAAAAGTATTTTTCGAGAACAAAGGGAACGTTGTTCAATACACTAAGGTCGAATAAAGATCATAAATATTTCGTAAAGCCTTACAGAAGCGTCTTCAATATTTTGCATGCGCATCAATACCTATTTGAAGACATATAAATATCGTTAAATCGTTGCGGTTTTGCAAATTGTGTAAGAAAGCTTTAGAAAAGGAGGTGTCTTAGAATAGAGGCTCTTTTGATAGAGAATGCTATGCAAAGGCGTATTCCCGAAATTAGCACGTTACAATAATTTTGGCAAATTTTGGGGCACACTGTATGTAATCTACTAAAAAAATATTGATGGGAACTATTATTGCATCAATGCTGTTCACTATATACCTAAACAATGACATAAACCGTTCTAAGTATTTGTTTTGGGGAATTCCCTAACGCACAAAATCTCTCAGGTGTTTAACCTTGATGGAATTTTTAGAGCTGACTCAGTCGCAGTTAAATTTTTCCTACAGATGGACAACAACAAGTCAATTTGCCGTAGAAAGAATATTTTGTGCTATATTTTTTATAATACCTAAACACACTAGGTGTCCATTACCTATGTATGGATTAAACAAAAAGGATCAATGATTCTACTGCTCAAATGCAACAACTTTCTTACGGATAAAATATCCAAATTCTCAAAAAAAAAAAACGTCTATATACTAATTGGCTTGTGATAATAATTTCTATGAAAAAGTTTTTTTTTGAGATTTGAAAAACCTTCTTCAGGAGAAAATTGTTGCATTTCAGCAGTAGAATTAATTCTTTTTGTTTGATAGGTACTTAAACGGGCACCCTGTACACAAAGTTTTTATAATATTGATTCCCTTTGAAGTCTAAGTTACTGTGTGCTTTTATTTTAATGAAGTCTACCGACGTCCTGCTAATTAAAAGTGTTCTTTAGGAACCGAAAACAATAGCTCTTTTGTTCTTCCATTCAATCCGAGCCACTTATCGTTGTTTTTGGAGCATGCCTTGTTGCAGGTTTATACCTATCCTTATTTTATTTCAAAGGAATCAATAATAAATTAAATATTTTTAAAATGCACATTTTATTTATTCAGTGAGCTAAGAAGTGAAATCTTTTCATGGAATCTAATAGTGTGCATTTTAGATATTTTTATGCACTAATGACCTAAATGTAGAAAATAGCTATTTTATGTTTTTTTTTGTTTCGTGTTACACTTTTTCCGGATCGTTTTTTATGTTGAGTACATTTAGAAATAAAAATTGGCCAAGTGCGTGTCGTGCCACGCGCAGTGTAGGATTCCGTAGTTTACCCGCGTCGTTACCACAATACAATATTTCAGAAGCAAGCAATTACGTGGGGAAAGTGGGGATGAATTTTTTTTTCGTTTTCTACCCTATCGTGTGGGGTATCGTTGGATAGGTCTTTTAAAAATTGGCCTCAATGTAACCTTGTTGGTGTTCAAATAAATAAATAAATAAATAAAATCGTTGGATAGGTTTAGGGGTTTCTAAAACTATTTTTCCATTTAGGAATCTGTTTGCAAATTATTAATGTTTAAAGTGCAAATTTTTGTTCGAATAGGGCGCCCCCCCCCCCCTTCTAAAAACGAACCTGTTGGCATGAAAAATCTGGAAAAATTCCTAATAATACTGCTTTTCATGAACTTTCAAGGAAAAGTATAACGGTTAAGATACATCAGTTAGTTTAAGAGTAATAGTCATTTAACTCATGTATTATACAATTTCATAACTAGTAAAAATTCTTAGAAGAAAAGTACAGAATAAAAGCTCTAGTAAAGTGAGCCCTCAGACTGTAAGCCCCCCGTATGAAGAAAAATTGCAGTAGCGGGAAAGAGTTAATCTAAATATTATATGTATATGTTACGGCTAAAGATATGTGTGAACATAGGTAAACTTAAGATTAGCCGGCTAAACTTAAGTTTATCTGCGAGAAGCAGCTAAAGTTCGATAATATGTTAGTTTGCGTCGTGATATTCCATCTTTAGCCGGCTAATGTGCACATTAGCCAAAACGTAAAGGCTAAAAATGTAGGTATTCGATGGGCGCGCCAGGCCGGCGGAGGGCTTGAGAAGGCGGTAGGGATACAACGAATAGCTCCATATTATTTAACAATTGTGACTAGATATTGTTTTAAGTAATTAACACTGAAGATGTTTTATTTTGTTTTATTTTGTAATTTTAAATACCTACTTACAGAAGATTCTGTAATGACCAAATGGTTCCTTATTATTTTATTTTAATGATAAGGTATGTACCTAGATATTGTTTTAAGTAATTAATATTTTGTTATTGTAATAATTGTAATTTTGAATACCTACATAGGTACATAAAAGTATGTGTAATGAAAGTGATTATTTTTTAATAAAGTTTTCGTGTCAAAATAGTCCTTCTACATTTTTAGCCAAGGGCCTGCGGTTACACTTAAGTTTAGCCGGCTAAAGATAGAAGAAACTAACATTAACACCTCGTCAAAGATAAACTTAAGTTTAGCCGGCTAATCTTAAGTTTATGTTCACACCTATCTTTAGCCGCAACATATATAACTCAAAGGTGACTGATTGACTGACTAACATAGTGATCTATCAAGGCACAGCCCAAACCACTGGACGGATCGGGCTGAAATTTGACATGCAGGTAGATGTTATGATGACGTAGGCATCCGCTAAGCAGGGTTTTACGAAACTCTCTCCCTAAGGGGGTAAAACGGGATCCACGCGTACGAAGTCGCGGCGCGGGCGGCCGCTAGTCAATGGATAAAAACATACCGATTAGCTCCAATCGGTATGTTTTTAAAAAGTAAGTAAGAGTTAGTTTCAATCAAAAGATAATGTGCATATTCAGATTCAATGTATTAAATATACTTGATATACTTGACTAAAGCTTAAATACGACTAGATCGATAATGGCTTGGCGGTCATAAATTTACAGGAAGGTGGTACATCTTCAAACACGACTCCAGCTTCTTTTCCGAATTCTTCGTATGTAACCTCGAAGACTGTTTCCCATCCATCACGGGCTGCTGCCTTCTGAGAGCCTGCTGACGTCATCCAGGCTCCAGTAAGAGGTACTCCAAGGTCATGGCATATCTGGCGCCTGAAATATTAAGAGTTGAATCACATGATGTTCAGAATAACGTAATTATGAATCGGATTATAGAAGGCATGCATGTGAGACCTTTTGAAGAAATTTCCATACGATTATATTATTTACGATAATATAGTTTACTTGTAAGTATAGTATGGTATAGTATCGAAGTGCAATGTTGATTAGAACTGAAAAAAGCTTTCAGTAAAGTTTATGAGAGAGAACCAAAATCAGTAATTAATACAATACTCGTAGAAACGCGAGCGCCTGTGTCAAAACACGTGAATGAGTTTTTATGATTTTTTTGTTTCATTTACAAAATTAAATGAACCTAGTTTGAAAATTACTAGTTTATGAACCTAGTTTTTGTAAATTTCTTAAAAAGTGAAGAAATCTAATTGGTGTTTGTAAGCATTACCTGACATTGAAGAACATTTGAGCAATTCCAAGACCTCTATATTTTGGATTTATTACAACTCCTCTGTCATCAAGGAAACTGTCGAGATTCAGATCCTTCATAACGTCGTATTTTGAAAAAAGTTTATCCATTATTGCAAACATAGCTGCCACCTCCTTAGTTTTTGTCTGTAAGAAAAAAAAATTTGAGGATTCGACTCATACATTTTTTTTCATATGGGTTCAGTTAGCTTCCGCAGACTGCAGACTTTTACTCGGCTGATAGTTTGATCGGGTTCTAATTTGTATGAAGAATTGAACCATACCTAATTGGTGTAAAAAAATATAGTCCACGAGGAGTCTTGAAATCCTTACAACTTTTCTAATATTTTCATGCAGTTTTTGTATACTTTAAGAATTAATTTTGTTAATTATGTAAGTAACATTTCTAAAAACACACATTTTATCTGTTTTATCAGCATTATCACTATTCATTTTCTACGAAAAATCCTCTGTCGTTTCGTAGAGATAAAGTTGTAATTTACTAAAATCATAATTAGAATCTTCAATCCTTCAGACAACAGTGACAACAGATAATACAATGGATAAAATAGTAAATCTACGTTGTTAAGATTGTTAGGTATTTTATGAAGATAATTTGTGATTGTAATTGTAATCTTCAATCCTTGAGATAATGCAATGAAAAAAATAGTATTTTAAGATTAAAAAGGTTATAACCGTGAAATTCATATCTTCTTCAGGGTCGTCTTTCTTAGCGACTGTTGTCATAGACGCTCCAATAATTTCTCCAACAACTTCAGGATCTTCGTCTAAACAACATATTACTAAGTTGTGTGGACTCTTAGCAATGTCAGTGGACATTTCTGTGACGAATTCTCTTGATTCCGCCAAAGCTTCTTCACTTTTATATATACCTGTAATGAGGATCATTTCGATTTTTAGCTGTGAATGCAGATTTATAGGGCTAAGAAATCCTTAATACACAGTGCAAAAATTTTTGTTCTACGACAAAAATTGACGAAGTTATGGCCAAAGTACTAAAAAAGTTCACTGACCGCCCGGCGCGGGGACGATGACGTCATTATATCCANTGTATGGTGTATCTTATAAGAATGGGTATACAAGATGTTTAATGTTTAAAACACAACACTACTGTAGAATAAATAATAATATGTAAAACGTTAAGCCTCATTTTGTGGGTTTATTTATGATTGTTTTGTTTTAACTGTGAAGTTTTGATATCAAAATAATGTAATGAACACCATAGCTCCATATACAATGCACAGACAATGGAGCGGACCTTCTCCACCTTTCTACTCTGTGTCCTCGTCGCCGCCTACGCGGAGGATCTTATTAAGTCATTACCGGGTCGTTTTCACCCGGTGGAAAGTCTGTCCTGGCAGATAGAAGAAGCCTCAATCGAATTACGATACTTTGTTGAAGTACCAGTTTTTGAAATTGAGGATCGTCTTGCAAAAACGGACGTTTCATATGGACACAGGGTGTCTTAATCGTTATGTGTAATTTTCTGTTTTCATTTTTAACTTATTCAACCAGCTGCAGTTACGATTCTAAGAGCACTAGATCGTCATATACATTAACGTAATTCATACTTAATTAATCATAGCTTCGGCTGAATTTCACCATCGTACTTTAACTTTGAAAATGGTCAAAAATATTTCAAACTCCTTACAAAAAGCACCGCTTATTGTTTTGCGGTTAAGATAAGGTGTGGTGCAAGCAACTCAGCCTTAATGTAATGGTAACATAGAGATCGTATATTTATTTATATAGTATTATTTTTAAAATACTGTGTACTGATTTATAGTTATAAGTAGGTATAACGAAATACTACCTTCTTACTAAATATTTAGTAATACTTTATCACACGTGTATGTGATAGTGTACTATCGTGAAAATCATTTCGTAGCCGACGCTTCCGTGATATTCCTTTATCATACACATTTAAGCTTTAAGCTCACTAGTTTTGGCTGTGCGTTGATCAGCTAGGTCAATCAGCTACTTATATTACCTGTCTAACCTCAACCACCTACTTATAAACCATCTGAATATTCATAAGTGTCGTAAGTGACCGTCGGCTCATCGCCAGTATCGACACCTGGTCTCGCCCACGGGGTGCGTGAGGGACCTACCAACAGAACGCTGGAATGCTTGGAAAGTTGCACCGATGGCAGTAATTAAATGATGGTTAATGGGCAGAAATGGAGAGCAATTGTTGTGAAAGGTTATCAGGTGGCTGATAAACTAGACTGAGAAAAATTAGGTGGCTGAGAAAAACTAGACTCAGAAAAATAGATAAGATGTCTTTGGTTAAGATGTATAAACTTAACTCTACTTCTGCTAAGAAGAAACGAACTTAGTACAAATGTTAGTTATGTTTGTTTATCTTTTACCGTTTTAATTAGGTATACGAGTACTTAGCTAAGCTACTCGTATTATCCAGTTCGCTTTCGCCATTGTATTCCCGAAAACCTATCTTCCAAATTATCCAAACGTTTCTTCCGAAAATTACCTTTTCTTTCTAGTTTGTTCGTTATGTTCGTTATGTGTGGACTTACGTTGTGATATCTCTTTTCTGTCTAGCTTGACAAACATTCATTTACGTGTAAAAACTCTGCTGAAATACTTTTAACAACTTGATGTGAATTTTAAGCAGATATTGCTTTACGCATTACGCCTCCTTGTCAGATCCGCGCAATTGCAAAAATGTACAAAGTATCATCACCGAAAACAATTTCTCCAACACCCACACTTAACTGAAGCCCCATGCCCAGCTGTCTTCAGCCGAAGGGACTTCTTAATTAATAACTCTTGCACAATGCACTTTCGGTCGTTTCATGGAAATTAAATTTCGCGCCTAATTATCGCTTTTGTCCGTCATATTTTTTCGACACCACTATACGTGTCAACGCCATAATTCACCGGTGTAATGACATGGCGGCGCGCGCACATTATTCTTGGGCGAAGATGCGCATGAGTGCACTGTTTTGGGGCGTGGAGTGGGGTGCGAGCGGCGAGCGGTGCTCATTGACGATTTGTCTTCTTCTTTTTGTGACACTCTTGACAAGTGTTGGTGGTCGTCAGGAGTGTGAATTTGTGTGGGCGGGTGTTCCTCGCCGTCTTTCCCGATTTGTCAGATATATCTTAATCGTAATGGGTGACTGGTCCTAACGAGATGATGTTCCACCAGATCGACAAACACGATTGTTGTTGCAGGAACATCTTTTGTCTTCTGTCTTAAGATATGAAACTTAAAAGGATTTTGGACTATGAACCTTCAGAAAATAAAACTAAGGTTGGTTCCTAGAGTCAACTTCACAATTGGTCAAAGAAAAATCAATGACAAATCGTTTTATTATCTTCTCTATCCTCTAATTACGTTATTAATATGTTTTCATCATGTCAATGGCCAACATTTTTCGAATCCACTCGTATTCCACGAAGCTTTCTGTTCTAGAGGTCTTTTTAAATAATAAAACCAAATTATTCTGGACGTTATAGTCAAAGTGTACTACCAAATCAAACACTTAACCGAATATTGCATCCCCCTGAGGGCTATAATTTGCCTCTATTCACAGATCCCATTTCATGTTCGTTAGTACAGCTTTGGCTGTACGTGTCCTGTATTTCCTCAATACGTCTCGAAACCTCGCTCTTTCGACCGATATGACTGATTGGTAGGATAGTCAAATCGGATCAGATTTATTTTCGCACAATCAATAATAAAACCTGCATGTAAGGTTAATGGTCTACCTACACCATCTAAACTAGAGAGATGTACAATGAATATTTACGTTATTGGGCTCATCCTATCTGAGAATTAAAACTAGAACCACCACGTCAAGAGAATCCAACCCTCAAACTATTAGACCATGTATTTCCAATTTTCTTTATAATTTGAAATATGTATGTATCTAGCGAAAAATACTGACGCCAGTAGCACACTTATACTACGAAAACTTGTCAGCAAAACCAATTAACACTGATATGTCCTGTTCAGATATTCACATGAGCAACTTCATAAAATGAATGCAGAGATGTGAATTGATAAGGTTTCGGTGCCCTAAATGCTAGCTATAGCTGTTATAGGGTAAGGCGGTTATCACATTGCGCCGCGCTCCGCCGCGGAGCGCGTGATTTCATATTAAAAATCCCGTGCATATACGCGTTGTCAGTGTGTTGTGCCGCGCGTGTTTTCTATACAAACTGAGGTACTTGCATACAATGATTAAATCTGTCGCCCCGTGTACCGCGGCGGAACGCGGCGCAGTGTGATAACCGCCTTACTATCACGTCCCCGCTGCCTCTTCTCAATGACACCGTCGCATAACATCGCAACCGTTCATTAAGTCGCGCGTTTCGGATAATTACGTACTGATAACGCAAGCAAATTGTCCGAGAATTATCCGCTGCTGATGAATATCGCGGCCCACAAAACGGCTTGTATCGGCGATTGTCACTGTGATGTTAATTGTGAGGAAAGTGCTGCTCGTTACTGACTAATTGATGCGCTGATTGGCCTTTGACATGGCGAAGCTACGGTGCTGTTGAGGTGATAAACCAATAATACCAACCAACTCCGCTTAAAATCATGTATTATATGTAGGCTGTAGGACGTTTATAGATTATAGGTACTTCGCAGAGCCTGGTATAGAGCTTTATAAGCTTTCTGTCTTCATAAACGTGTCATGTCACCCTATGGCTGACATCACTGTCTACGTCGAAGTATAGCCCTTTTGATACATCTCTTATTTTGTGCACAGCCAATAAGGAATAGAATTATCTGCAAGTGACGATAGTGTTCCTTAATCTTGAGGCATCTTCAAGGTACTAGCGTATAGAAAAATGCGCTCATCATAGATTTCTTAAGCACCCTTCAGGCGAGATGAGAGCCAACCCATTAAAAAGACCTTATTAAAAATAATGTTCCGGAGAGGTTTTACACTCGAATTGGATTCTTATGATAGTATCTTCCAAAATGAATTACGAAGAAAAGTTTCATCCAAACCCAAGCCAAAATTAAAGCAGGCTTCAGCTCAATTCCAATGATACTTTGACTGATGATATCAAGGTCGAAATAATTACACCCAGTATCGATGATTCCTCGGAAATCCAATTACAAAGACGCGTTAAAATCAGGCCGACAGGCACAAAACGTCCCGCCATGCCAAGAGAAACTTAACCTTATCATTTGAATAGAAAGTCCAAATTTGAAAGCACCCAGAAAAATTTGGCTGCTGCTTTTGAAAATACGTGGTTTTAACTCCTTCTTGCCCTCTGTTTACTTAAAAGAAACCAATGTTAATTTTGCGGGGCAGTTTAATTTTATATGACAACAGGACTGTCGTACATCTCTTCCCCTCAATTCGGAGAATGAACGTGTGGGAGTGAGACAGATGAGATCTCGATACAGAACTGACAATGTAAAATTTTACGATATAATCGCTCATCGGTCGCGGTCTCGCGTAAAGTGGAATGATGCAAATGCTGGGTTGTGCGAGTAATGAATATTGCAGTATAATTTGGCTGATGGTAATTTTTACACTTCGACACCTGTCTGCCTAGAGCGAATTTCTCGCTAACTTTTCGGGCTGCGAAGATTTCAATCTTACAAAAAGTGTTTGCTTAACACCAGACTCCGAAATCACGTACTTAACACAAGCGACCGATTTATATCAAGTGGTTCTTGAAATTAGGGGTGCATCATTTACTCCCAGATATTATTTAAAAGCATTAACGGCCTTCATCTCTGAGACTCCAGCAGCTTAATTCAGAGAAGCTGAATCAATAATTGAATTGAATTGAATTGCTGAATCAATAATTGAATTGTAATAAATGTATCTTTCTTTCTTTCTTTCTTTCTAATTGTATGTCACCAAATACTGTTGGATTTTCTATTGTCGAAACCA